CCCCAAACCCCCCGTCCGGTCCTATGGTGCACCCAAAAGAAGTGGCGAAAAAGAACCCTGGGATTCGCCTGGCCACCTTTCGCCAAGAGCTGCTTCAGTTGATCAAGGCTCGGCAGCCTGATCAAGGCTGCGCGCCGGCTGCCGCCAGACGAGCGAGACACGACCGAAGGTGGGCGCCGCGACCGAACGGAACGGTCTTGAGTTGCGGTGTCGACCACGAGCACCAGCTGCAAAATGGACTGAAAAGTTCGGACGGAAGAAAAGAATAGAAAAGATATGTGAGGGTTCTTAAGTAGAATATGGTCACGGCACATCTATGACCTCTATGGCCCATAGGGGTGACGTCCCGTCCCGAGACGCAAGACGAGACGAGCGTCTTCTCCAAACGGCCACCGCCGCGCGGAGTCCGAAAACATTCATCGCTCCCAACAAACGGGTCAGAACGAGTCCGACACGGAGCCACCCGGTCCCACGGGTCCCGGTCCCACGAAGCCACCCGGCCCCGCTGTCAGGTCACCGATCGGGGTCACTGATGACACCAGCGGGGCCCTCCGCTGTCATCGCCTGGCAGTGGTGCCCGACATCCAAAAGTCCTGGCAAACGAACGGTGGGGCTGCCGTGGCGCCGGAGGGCGGTGGTGGAAGTCCAGGATGAGGAAAAAGATGCTATAGGTATGGGCCTTGAAAGGTGGATGGTGGGCCTTCAAAGGTGGATTGGAAAATACTTGTAGAAAGGAGCTTGATGCACGGGTGCCAAACTTGGTCAAATACCTAGGACCTAGGAGCACGCAGGAGACCTGCGGTGACTCCGCGTCCATAGAAAACGAACTAATGCCCCGAAAGGCTTCAAAGGCACAGAAGCGCTGCCATTGGCTTAGGAGGTCACACTTCAGTTCTAATCTCTGGAGAGATAGCCTTCTCAACTAGCCTTCGAAAAAATCCACCAGCCCAACTCAGCCCAACTTGACAGCTGGCAAGTTCGATCTCATACACCGCCTGATGTGCAAAAAAGAACTTTGATTCTTCACGTGAGTGGTTGTACAAAATGCCTTCCATCAGCAGCACTGTTGCTGGGCCGCGATGGGTCCCACTCCGGAAACAGCCACCCGTACCTCGGCCACCCCTTCCGGGAGCTCGGGCGCTTCAGGCGGCGCCTGTCAGCTGTAAATCAGAGTCCAAAAGGATGGCTGTGGGTCATGGCACCAGGAGACCAGTGACACCTCGTGCGCGGCAAATGGTGTGGTGTGATCCATCCCCACATGTTATGGTCCTCCTGAGGTGCCTCGTTGTGAGGCCTCATGTGTGCTTTCTCCTCGGATGGCAGCATGAGGATAGTCTCTATAGATCGGCTGAGCACATTCGGATCTGATGACCCCCAAGGTGAGGGCACAAATGCAGCGCGCTCTCCACTGCGACGAGCTTCACCCGGCTTGCCCGCTTATGGTTTGGGTTTGACCTGGCTTGCTCTGACAGGCAAACAGACTGCATTTAGCCCGCCATCTTGGATGATTTCCAGCTGGGTGTGGTCGCGTTGGCGCCGCGTTGGTGGCGGTTCACCACGTTGAAAGCTTGGGAAAACATGGGAAAACATGGCTTCAGGATGTCCCATGGCCAAAGAGGAGGACTTGATACCAAATGTTCGAAACAAGTAAAAACAACTCGAGTGACAAGTTCTTTTTCTCGGCTCGTAGTGGCATTGGCCTTGACCCAACTGATGAATCAGTAGATCTGGCAGATGTCTTCCCTTCCCAGGTAGGTGGATCAACCACAATGCACTACCAGTGAAAATACGGCGCCTGCCCGGCTATGAAGCCCCCGCTCGCCTTCTTTCTGCCACGACCCCGGCCGGCGCCTGAGCAAGTCTGGGGGACACCGGTGGAAGACTCGATTGGATTGCCTCAGGGTCTGTTGTGGAAAGCTCTTTGACCCGTGGAGCCGAGGGCTTAGCTAGCCCTGTGGTACCCTTCATGGCACAAATCCTTTCCCATCTGAATACATCTCCAAACAGATGAGAGGGTCAAAGAAACTTCATCAGTCTGTTCGTTCACACTCCCTTGGACAAAAGCAGTTGGCACTTCCACAAAGAAAGACACAGGCACTTCCACCTCTGTTGCTCAGCCACTAAAATCGTCCTGAGAGTCCCATGAGGAACCATACAGAACGGTAAGACCCTCTGGTTTTGGCCCAGACCGACGGGTTCGCTCCATCAGCTCCTGGTACCCGTGGTGAATCATCACGCTCTTTTCATGCAGAAGGCCACACCTTATTCTGTGAGATGTCCGTCTTGGAGCTCAACCCGAAATTCAACCCCAAAAACCTTTGAAACTCGACGCACTCAACTTGAAAAAGAAACATCGGTTCAACAACAATTCGAGGCTCCAAAAAGGTGCCCCAAACCGAAAAAGCCCGTCTCCGGAGATCCATGTTCCTCCCTCCGGCCATGGCACGCACCGCTCCAGGCCCCGTTGGAACGGGCCCATCGGGCGTTCCTTTCCGCTCCACGGGGGTGTCCGCGCCTGGGTCGATCCCCCCGCGGCGGTCAGGAGGAGGTCGGACGTGCGGCGGTTGGGCGGTTGGGCGTCTCGGTGTGGGCGGTTGGCGCTGCGCTGAGTTGTTCCAAGTGAAACAGAATCAGGACATCCTGGTGCACTGGTACCTGTTGACGAGCTACAGCTACGTTGTGAAGCCCGGGGGGGGGCAATTGGATGTGAAGTCTGAAAAAGACCCCAGTCTGCTTGTTGGATGAGGATGAGGAGGATGAGGAGGATGGGGATGATGCCCACGTGACTTCTAGTCCAAATGAGGTTTCACTTTGGCGCCTCGAAGCGGCACAGAAAACGAGAGGTCCCTCTGGGCTCCCGTGCATGGTGCAGGGCACACCTGCATCGAAGAGCGGAGAAAACAGAGGAACAAATTCAGAAGCAGACAGGTTTGGGAAGTTGACCCCCATGGCCATTGCCAGATTTGCCCCTGAACAACTGGAAACTTGATCATTTCGTGTGCATAGAAACCAGTGAAGTGAAACATGATGCGAATCGATCCCTGTCCGTTCTCAGATTCATTCTCCTTTTTGGATCCACTCAGTAGCAGAAGCTCCCACGGTTCCAGCAGAGTCCTGGTTCCTTGCTTTTGAAGTGCCGTTTTCACCTACACGTGCCCTGGCGCCCTTGGTTCTTGGCACCCTCTTTGCTCCGCCTGCTCCGATCGAAAGGTCCGTTCGGATCTAAAATCGGATGAATTGATGGAAGCTGGAAGACCAACGACCACCCAAACGGCCACCACTAAGATCAACGACCACTCTTTAGTCTGTAGAGCTTTCTCACATCCTTTATTGGCCATCTTAACTTGAAACACAAACATCAAGAACTTGCCATGAGACATGGAAGAAAAATTGCTCACCCGAATCATACCAAATCCACGTCCACGCGTCCACGAAGGTCCCTGGTCAAAAGAATCTTTTGCGGAGTGTACCAAAAACAAAAAAGCTTATGTCCCTGCTGAATCCTTTCCATGCTTGACCCCAATGCTTCAAGAGACCTGGGTCATTCCTGGAGTTTCCGTGCCCCTCCCCATGTCCCTCCTCCCAATAAATGAAAAAGCACGACCCAAAAAATGGCATCCAGAAACATGGAAAGCCCAACCTAGGGAGCCCAGACCCGGTAGAGAACCATTAAAAAACCGAGTTGAACCCAAACACAAGGCGAGGCATCAGAATCCCCGTTTTCAAACGGGGGGTTTTTGTGGATAGAGAATCGGGTCCGAGAGGAGCTTCCAGTGAGGGTAGCAGATGGGTCGAGTGAGGTTTGGAGGGGGCAACAATTGCAGTAATTACAAAAAATATGACAGCATTCAGGGTGCTTTTTGGAGCGCAGTGATCGTCCGCTCTTTGAAGATGCTGATTGCACAGAAAACACAACACTGCTTGGGGCAACCACCGTCCAAAAGGAAAACACAAAGAAGATAAAGAAGCAAGAGCAAAACAAGGCTTACGTTTGTTTGCTTGGGCATAACCCTCATTCTTTTTCACGATGCTCAAATATGTTTGCCTTCACTCCACTGAAAACGAAGAGAGAGCGCCCCCCCCAGGGTTTCTTCTTCCTTCAGATTTCATCATGTCGTACCACTCCCAATGGACCAAAATGGAGAACCCATGCACCAAACCCCATGGAACCCATGGACCAAAACAGACCTCATGGACCACCTCCCTTTCGCCCCCTCCGCCTGAATCTTCGAGGGCGCCATCCCCCCCGTCCCTTTCGAGCCGAGCAGGAGCAGGTCGATCGCATCGTCGAGCGTCGAGCGTGGTCGAGCCGAAACCCCCACCAACGTCCAGAAATCCCGGAAAAGCCCAAGGCCCAAAGGATACCATGTTCGATTGGATCGAGGTCTGACACTCTGTTTTGGGTGACGGAAAAGGATGGAGATGGGTCCCAGCGCAGCGCAGCGCAGCTCGGAGTCGTGTTCACCGGGTTCACCTGCTTTTCTATCTTCGAGGTTCTTGTATCTGGAAGTCGAAGATACGTCCAACACATTGCTACTGCATGAACCCAAAAAGGAGCGCGGAGCGCGGTACGAGTAGCACCCATGGTCGGACGCAGGGGTCCACGGTTCGGCCAGGCGTGACGAACGACGAAGCCAGTGACCGGCCAGGCGTGTCAGCTGAGGTCAAAGACCACAACCGAGACGACGATCCGATGTGGTTTCTCTGCAGTCTCCATCTTCCGTGGGTCAACAATGGAACCCACAGATTATGATCAAAAGATCATTTAATATCATTTAATTTATGTTCTTTTCTGCAGTCCAATATGTTGAAAAGACATGTTAACATGTTGGAACCACAAATTATGATCAAACAAATCACCAAAAACTCGCGTTTTTCTCAGCAGTTTCGACCACCCAAAAATTTGCACCATAAAATGGTGTGATCCCAAGCACGTCGGGTTTCCGAGGTGGCCGCGGCACTTTTTCCTCCTAGGATCCTGGCATCTCTGCACTGATCTTCGCTGCATCATGTCCCAAACTCCCTGGATGGCGCAAGAAACCGCATGACTTTGATATTCACTGCTCTTGTTTGGCGTCTGACTAGGAGAAAACAACAAGTTAGAACATTGACAGGGACTCAGGGACTTCTACGAGATGTTGAAGCACACCAAGCCGCTTGATTTGGAAGTCACAGTATCTACCAGCTTCCAGCGACCATCTCTGATCCATGCCCCACTACTCTGGGGCACTCACTCTGAGACTCTGTGAACTGGCCACTGGAACTCCCTCCATCGCTGGGAGCACTCCCTCCATCGCTCCCCTCGTTGTCTGCCCAAGCCCGCCTGTGTCATTGGGGAAGAACGGGAGAGAGACCCCCTGGACCTTTCGATTGGCTCGATCACCCCGATAAATGGGACTATACCATCAACTCTGCTCCCCACCTTTGCAGGAAGAATCCAAGCACTATCAGCATGATCACGCTGAAGTAGATCCCTAGATCCCTAAGAACCATGGAACAGCAAGTCATCCCAAAACCGTTGCAAGTCTAGATCCCAACCAGTCCTCCCAGCACGATCATCTCGCCCAAGTCACCAAGGTGAATCAAAACGGCGCTGGGACTCTGCACCAGCACAGATGAGCGCCACGCGGCAGCCGCTGCTTCCTGGCCACGCAGGAAGCAACTTCCTTCTATGTGACGACACTCGAAGGCTTGAAGGAGTGACGAGAAACACTGGAAACAAGTGACCATCTCAGTCAGTCTCATCCAAGTGCAAAATGAAAGAAAGCAAAGATATTGATTGGTTTGACCTTGTGCCATTTGATGGCATGGCCGTTCGTTTCATGGCCACACACACACACACACACGCTCCTGTTTTCTTCGGAGGATTTCGGAGGTGTTTTCTTCATCTACCTCCTTCTTTGTGGATCCGAATCCCTTGAACTTCCACCTTGTGCTCGCGCGTTTCTCATGTCCACCAACGCAGCGACCGACGGCGGCGTAGGTCTGCTTCTGGTGGAGGAGGATGCGAGAGGCAGCTGCTTGGCGTAAGTCATGAGATCACCTGGCAATGTCCAAAGCCCATACGGACCATGCACAGAAACCAAGCAAAAGCATAAGCCCAAACGAAGCGGGATTATTGGTTGGTCGATTAGTTTGCAAGCACAGTTAATATAAGAGAAACCTTGATACACTTACTGCCGGAGAGCAACCCTAGAGCACCATGTAGGTAGTCAGTGACAATCAACAGAATCCTTTGGCAAACTGAAGTCCGTTCTATGCAACAGGATATGTTGCCACGTGCTGCTGTCTTCGGCCAAGCACTCACTTGCGCACCCCCAAATAACCTCACTTGCGCACTTAGCACTCACTTGCACACTTTCATTTCAGGGGGAAAGTGAAGGTGAAAGGACATTCAACCACCAACAATCTATTGGGTGGGGGGGGTAGGAGGAAATGAAAAGATACTCAACCACCAAACAATGTAAGTTCTTGCACCTGACATGTAATTAGGTGAGGTTACTGAACACAACTGCTCATTAAAATTACATATCTTGTTGGGGTGAAGTGGGTGGGGGGGGGGGGGGGGGGG